CCCACCTCGCCTCCCATGCGGTGTATACAAATTCGTATACAACGCCGCGATGCGAACTGGAAGAACGAGATGTGAAAACCCTATGTAAAACTTCGTTCTCTGAATGCAAGAGGCGACCATACCAACGATGAGCATGTGAAAACACACATACACACACGCACAAACGCCATTGCCGTGGCGCATACTGGTGTCCCGCCCGCAAGGGTGACCCACCCACCTGGGAGACCCACCCGAATGGGTGACCCGGCCACCTGGGTGGCCTTCGGTGCGTTGCATACATTGTCGTGCACAACGCCGCGAAGCGAAATCGAAAAACACATGGTGAACGAAACATGTAAAACTTCATTCGGTCGATGCAAAAGGCGGCCACGCGAACGATGAAAATGTGAAAACACACAGAAACCCCATTGCGCTGGCGCATACTGGTGTCCCACCCGCCAGGGTGACCCACCCACCTGGGTGACCAACCCACCTCCGTGGCCTTCGCTGCGTTGTAGACGTGTTCGTAGACAAAGCTGCGATACTAAATCGAAAAACGAATGGTGAAAAAAACCCATGTGAAACTTCACTTTGTGGACGCAAGAGGCGTATGCATGGGGCCGCGAAATGTGTGAGGGGTGTGCCGAAATGGGAGGGCGGTGCCATGCGAACCCTGCCACTGGGGCCTTCAGCGGAGCTCCGTATAGGGCCGCGAAACGTGTGAGTCGTCTGCCGAAATGGAAGCGGCGGTGCCATGCGAACCTTGCCACTGGGGCCTTCGGCGGAGCTCCCTAAGGTCCCTAAGGGGCCGCGAAGTGTGTGAGGGTGTGCCGACCTGGAGGCGGCGGTGCCATGCGAACCTGGCCCTTGGGGCGGGCCTTCGGCGGAGCTCCCATATGGGGCCAAGAAACGCGTGAGGGGTGCGCCGACATGAATAAATATTTTGACGTAGCCTTAGGGCACCGCTTCGGCCCAAAACGACGAACACAAAGGCTGGCCCGCAGCGGTTAATTCCGAGATGTCGGCGGTAGCCTGGGGAGGTGGAGGGGAGGGGGGAGGGGGGGGGGCGAGCCCAACGAAAAGAAACAACAGGCCCACTTGCAAAAAAGATAAAGAGTTTGACGTAGCCATGGGGCGACATGCCAGAACTAAGAACAACAAACACGAAGGCTGGCCCACAGAGCATAATACAGAGTTGTCGGCAGTGGCCAGGGGGGGAGGAGGGGCGAGCAACGAAAATCAGAACGCTGGCCGACCAGCAAAAAACATAAATATCTTGACGTAGCCTTCTTGCGAATCGCCGAGGCCACCAACAACAAACACTGAGGCTGGCCCACTGCGAACAAAAACAAAGACTTTGGCCATTGCGCCGGAAGCGTGGGCGAGGCTAAGATACAAGAGTTCAATGGACCGGCCGGCGAAATCGCAAAACAACAAACAAACCATGCGGACCATGATGAGATAACGCAAGCGGGCGGAAAAGCAGTGATCTCGCCGCGCCATTTTGGGGGGCGAGCACGGCCCCCCGAACAAAACACGAGTGGCCTGAAACACAGAAACGCTACAAACAACGGAACTGGAGGCCCAGAAAAACAAACACAACCAAGCCCGGACGCCTCTTGTGCTTGCAGCCTCCCTGTGCCTCTTCGTATATGGATCATCCACGTCCTCCTCCTCCTCCTCCTCCTCCTCCTCCTCGTCCTCCTCCTTCCCCCCGAGGTCAGCAGCATCCCCATCCCCGATCCCCGCCAGACTCCTCCTCCCACTTCTGATCCCTGTCCCAGTCACCCCCCCCCATCCTTCCTGATCCACCTTAAGTCCTTCCTTCCCCTCGTGCTCGGGGGCCTCTGTCGACCTCCCCGTGGAGAGGTTCTTGACGAAGAAGGCCCCGCCAGCGAAGTCCCGGTCGCGCCTGCTGAGCATCAGCATCGCCTGGTAGGGGAAGAACACGGGGCCGTACGGGTCCTGGAGAGGGGGCGAGGGGAGGAGAGCGGGGGGAAGATGGGAGGGAGGAGGCTGAGGAGAACAGGGAGAATACAGAAAGGGAGAGAGAGAGAGAGAGAAAACAAAAAAAAAACAGGAGACAGGAGGAGGCGAGGAACACAGGGGGTGGGAGGTGGGAGGAGGTGGAAGAGAGGCGGGAGGTGGAGGAGGGATCCTGGAACGTCAGGTTCCGCCCCCCCCATCCTCCTCGCCTGACCCCCTCCCCTCCTCCTCGTTCTCCTCGTCCTCCTCGTCCTCCTCGTCCTCCTCCTCCTCCTCCTCCTCCTCCTCCTTCTCCGCACTGTCCTCACCCTCCTCCTCCTCCTCCTCCTCCTCCTCCTCCTCCTCCTCCTCCTCCTCCTCCTCCTCTCCGCACGGGAGGTGTCCTGGTGCGCCAGGTTCAGCCCCCCCTCGCCGTAGGCCAGAAATCCCACCAGCCCTTTGGGCCAAGGTGATCTACAGTCGGTCCGCAGCATAAGGATGCGGGGTAAAAGGATGCAAGGGCCTTGGACGCCCATTTCGAAGCTCTTCGAGCAGGGCGCGGCCAAGGAAAGGGACCAAGGATGGACCGAGGAGGCAACGATGCAAGGGTACTCTTGGGACGGTGGTCCATCCTTGTTGTGCGGTTTAGCTGTAGTGGTGCCTTTTTTCCCGTACATCCCAAGGACGACGGCTTTTTCTTCTTGGGCCAGGAACGACGGCTTGAAGTCTAGAGCAGACGCGCATGAGATAATCGCCGTCGGATCCAGTGAAATTCGCGCGGGTCAAATTGAGGTTTTTGCGTATGCTTCGGTGGATCCGATTTCCGTCCGCACCCCGCTTTGAATTTATAGTATCACATTAAAACGGGACAGCGGAAGAAATCGGATCCGCGGACCGCGGAACCCGCCCGTGTTAAGATTCTGCGGGGGAAGGGGGTGTGGTCAGTAACTTCCAACACATCATCGCCACTTGCACCCCAAGAGGAAAATCTCTCCTCCTGCGCAGGTATCCCCAAATCCCGCTCCACTTCGGGGATGGGTGCCCTTCCCCTCCCCTCTCTGAGGTCTTTTGGGGCGGGTTCGCGATCGGCTGGGGCGCCCAAGATGGCTCCGAAAGGGCGCCTCCGATGCTCCAAGATGGCCTCCAAGGCGGCTCGAGATAGCCGAACATGGTCCAAGATAGATCCCGACATACCTCCAAGAGGCCCGACGATGGCCACAAGACGGTTCCAAGTGCTCCCGGAGCCTTGAAGGGAAAGTCATCGAGTTGTGCTTTCTCGCCTTTTCGCTTCCGATGCGGTTTTGGAAGCCTCAAGATGGCACCACGATGGCCCAAGAGAGGCCCAAGAGGGGCTCAAGAGGCCCCCGAGATAGCCCTAAGCACTCCCAACAGCGGCCCAAGAGCGCACCCTTAGGGTCCAAAGTGGCGATGTTGATTGCCCCATGGGGGCAAGGTGTTCCTCATCCTCCTCGTCGTCGTGGTCGTGGTCGTGATCGTTGTCGTGGTCGTGGTCGTGGTCGTCGTCGTCGTCGTGGTCGTCGTCGTCATCGTCGACGTCGTCATCGCCGTCGTCGGTGTCGTCGTCGTCTTCCTCCTGCTTCTCCTCCTCCTCCTCCTCCTCCTCCTCCTCCTCCTCCTCCTCCTCCTCCTCCTCCTCCTCCTCCCCTCGCCTCGCCCCAACGCGGGCCCCAGGGATGGCCTGCAGAGGCCCTCCAAGGCCACCCCTACGCTCCCAGAGACCTCTCTGTTCACCGAGGACGCCCGCTGTGTCTCCCTATTCGAATAAGGGGATCGACTACAGAATTGATTTACCCCGACATTGATTTCCACGTCGAACCTTACACACAAATGCCTAGAATGCACGTGGATCTACGAACATTCTACGGATTGTCCCTGGATTCGACGAGAAAGATCAACTCTGGGGTGAATCAATTCTGCAGTCGATCCCCTGCTCGAACTATATGGCGGATTCCTGAAACCCTGAAACCAAGCACGTTTTCATCTCTTGGGGGGGCAGCTTTTACTTCCGCCGCCTTCCGACGAGCTTCCGCCGGATTCCGCCGACAGAGGCGGCCTCGTTTTACTTCCGCCGACCTTCCGCCGCCCTTCCGCCGCCCTCCGCCGCGGAAGCGGTGACAACTCCGTCGATCCTCGAAGGCGAAGCCCTTTTTGGAACGCTCCATGTGTGTCTCGACGTCCCTTTGCCCGTCAGCTCTCATGCGCAGGGTTGCTCCATGGGCCGGCGGAGCTGCGCGCGAGGAGCGCGAAAGGAGATGTCGGCCGTCCGCCGCTGCCCGGCCGCGGCGCTCGTGCGCTCCAGCGCCGCGAGGCTACCGGGGAGCAGAAGGTTCACACCTGCCCCGCCCACGTGAGTTACAGTAGGAGCTCGAGGACGCGAAACCTTCCAGAAGAAACCCAACCCTGAGACCTCGAGTCGTCCATTGGCTTTTGGTGTGGGAACGTCACGCTTCCCATGGCAAAGCCATCCAAGCCCAAGAACCCCAAGAAACCCAAGGCAACCCAGAGGCAAGCAAAGTGTTTCTTGGCATGGGTTTCCACTGTCGGAGGCAACTACTGGGAGGTCTTCGTCGGAATGATTGTAAAGGAGGATTGAGAGCCCCCATTGGGGAGCTGTTACGCTGGATTGGTCCGCGGACTAAGCGGGATTAAACCAAATCAAGCGGGAATTAAACGGGATTCAACCAGATTAATCCAGATTTCGGACCAGGGCAAAGTCAGAATTTGACCTCCCAGAAGTTGCATCCGAACATGAGGAGGGAATGGAGGGAGGAGAGAGGATATGCCACGGTCAGGAATTTTCGCTTCGCGTGTCTTGGCGGCGGGGGCCCATAGGCGACACGCGATGCTACGCGAGCTGATAGCGTCTGGCTCCGCTCCGCGGGGCGGGAGGCTGTAAAAAGCCCGGGACGGGTCGGACGTCCCCCTACAGGGGGATATTGGACGAGAAAGAGAACAAACCCAAAAAATACCTTCAAATATTCAATGAATACTCAAAAATGGTCCCAGCACTATCTTTTAAACTACTTTTTAAATACTCCTCCTGTAGAGGGGCAGGCCCGACTGGACACCAGGACGTGGTCAGCGTGCCGCGCCGAAGCGAGGCGGGCCAGAACCAGCGGCACGACACGCTGAGCCAGAGCTCCTGGCCGGGAGAGGGGGGCAGGAGTGAGGGGAGAGGGAGGAGGCGAGGGAGGGCCAGAGGAGGAGGAGGAGGAGGAGGAGGAGGGGGAGGAGGAGGGGGAGGAGGAGGAGGAGAGGAGGAGGGAGGAGGAGGAGGAGGAGGAGGGGAGGGTGGTGCGCCAGTTGTCCTCCCCGGGCTGGGCGGGTAGCGGCGGCCCAGCGGCGGGGAGAGCTCGAGGAGGCGCGCGTAGAGCGCGCCGCGGAGCTCGGCCACCAGAGCCGGGCTGCGCCGGCAGAACTCGTAGCGGCCGCACCGCCCGGCCTCGAACAAGAGAGGCAACCACCGATTTGAACCGTCACTTCCCAGACCTCTCCTGGGGTGCGTTCTGACCAGGGTTCCAGGGAGCATCCACCAGTGGCGACGAGGGCCTTCCAGGAGGCCCACAGAGGCCCCAGCGAGGGCAGGGTACTCTGCATCGTTTGTGGGGGCGTGGAGGAACTGGAAGAAGAAACAGCACCACACAACAATGTTTTAATGTTTGGCGATCCCCGCGGATCTCTCGGATCCGCGCTGGACCCCCCTCCCTGGCGCGCGGAGCGCGCCAGGGGCGGCGCCGGAGGCGCCGCTGAGGGGGGCCCAACGAGGGGAAGGGTACTCTGCATCGTTTGTGGGGGCGTGAAGGAACGTGTACTCTGCATCGTTTTTGGGGCCCAACGAGGGGAGGGTACTCTGCATCGCTTGGGGGGGCGTGGAGGAACGGGTCCGGAGGAAAAGCGCGTGCCGGAGACTGGGGCCTTCCCCTGGGACCAGATCTTCTGAAGGGGCCCTGGGACACACAAAGAAATACACACAAAGAAAACTATTCCCCATATCTTCCTATATATTCTGGGTTTGGGGCTTCCCCCCTTCCCATGTTTTCGCATATTTCCTGGGGAAGCAACGATTAATTGTGTCTGTGTGTTTCATCCCGAGCAGTTTGTTTGGGGCTGTGCCTGGGCCGGTGCAGGGCGCAGGGAGGCCCAAGAAACGGCGAAAATCACCTCAGCACCCGCTCCCTCCTCGGGACCCGTCGGCTTCGAGGGGGACGCACAGGGACATGCTAGTACTGCAGAGCACTCCTTACTCATTCCGGCCACTTCGACTTCCGGTCAGTTTCCCAATCCCGGCCGCGAAGTACAAAGGAAAGGTGCCGACGCGCAGGTCTCCTTCTCCCCCTCCGCCTGCCTCCTCCCTCCTCCTTCCTCACCCCTCCCTCCTCCTCCTCCTCCTCCTCCTCCTCCTCCTCCTCCTCCTCCTCCTCCTCCTCCTCCTCCTCCTCCCCCTCCCCCTCCTCCTCCTCCTCCTCCTCCTCCTCCTCCTCCTCCTCCTTCTCCTCCTCCTCCTCCTCCTGGAGGCTTCCTCTGATGGGGCGCCTCGACGACGACAGACCTGCACCCTGCGGCCAACCTTGGGGCTACGCACCGCTGCGAGCCCTCGCCAGGGCCACGCTGCGCCTCCCGCTGGGGGCCAGACTTTGCCTGAAGGCCCGGGTGGGGTCGGCAGCGTTTGAAGGGGCCCCAGGACACACAAACACATACACACAAATAAGAGCATTCCCCATATATTTTCCCATATTTTCTGGGTTTTTGTCTTCCCCCCCACTTCCCATATTTTCCCATATTTTCTGGGGAATCGACGATCCATTGTGTCTGTGTGTTTTTTCCCCTCCTGAGCGTTGTGCCCACGAGTTAGAAATGAGCGCTCTGTAGATGTCCTTATTGGAGGCGGGCGTCCGACCCGAACATGTTTTGATTCGCGGGTCGAGAGCGCACCTCTTCCGGTCCAAGCTAAGCGGGCCGCGCAGAGCTTGAATTACGCAGAGAAGGGGGAGGAGAACGTCCGACCCGAACATGTAGCATACCCAACTTGCAGTACGTCGTTTCCCGAGCGGTGTGCATCAAAGAGCGCCCGCCGCGACGCATGTACTATGTAAGAGTTCTCGCTGCGCGCGTCGCCCCCTGGGGGGGGCGGCGCACGTTTGGTAGAAGTACGTTGGGGTGACGCCGACTCTTCAGGGGGCTTGCTCTCCTCAGGACCCGTCGGATTCAAGGGGGGCTTGTTCTCCTCAGCTGGGCCTCGCCGTCCAGGTGCTGCGTGTCCACGAAGGCGGCCGCGCTGGTGGCAAACTCCAGCAGCGCGGCGCACAGGCGGGGCGGCACCACGTCCTCCAGCAACACCGCGCCGTCCGTGTGCAGGCGCGCCAGCTCTCCGGAGCCCAGGCCGCCGCGCACCCGCGCGGCGACGCTCACGTTCGGCGGGCGCCCGCGCAGGCGCGACTCCTCTGGAGGACGAAACACGGCATGAATCTCATGAGCGTCGGCTTTCGGAGCTCACCGCGGCTCTCTTGGGCAGGCTACACGCGAGAGCGGCCCTGGGCAAAGGTGGCCGCTGGTGCGCGGCTTTACGGGGGTCGTGGGGGAGCCAGGACCGAAGCGCGCGAGCTGCTGCTACTGCACCGCATGCGGCGATCGGGGGACCCCAATGGGCCAGCACCCAAGGTCACTCCAGCGAAGGGTCACTCTTACGTGTAGTCGATTGATTGGGTCGGCGCCAGCCCCTTCTGGCGGCGCAGGGAGGCGGGTCCAGCGCCGATCCCAAAACTCCGCGAGAACCTCTCAAAGTTTTATGGCTGTACAAGTGTCTGTTTTCGGCTACACGCAGGGGTGACCCCAGACAACAGTGACCTTTGGGGAGCGGCTTTTGGCGGCGGCGGGGGGGGGCACTCCAAGCGCGCGAGCAACTTCAGGGGGGGATCCCTGTGTCGGCTACACGCAAGAGTGACACTGAGTAAAAGTGACCTTTCGTGCGCGGCCCAAGGGTGGCCTCTTTGGGGACACCATCAGGCGCGCAAGCCGCTGCTGCTATCGCATCGCATTCGGCGATCGGGGGCCCCAGTGGGCCCGCACCACCCCATTAGGCCCGCACCGAAGGTCTGGCGCGTGGCCGACCGTAGGCCCACACCGAAGGTAACTCCGGCGAAGGGCCATCCTTACTAACGCGTGGCCGATGCTTCTCGATCACCCACTCGGAAGGGGAGGCGCACACGGAGCTCGGTCGCCGCGCTGCAAGAAGAGCCGCAAGACGATGCCAGCCAGGACGAGGACAACTTCGGGCGAGGATAAATCGAGAACCTCTGAGATCCCGCAGCTCTGGAGGATGTCTCGGGCGCCGCGGACTCCTCAGAGCGTTCTGAACCGCTCTGAGAAAGCTCCGGAACGCTCTGGAAGGGAGTTACCCTCGTCCTAGCCTTAGGTTGGGCATGTCCCTCTACAGGCGAATATTGGCAAGAAAGTTAGAATTACCCAGTGCGACCCTACCTAGAAGTTTGAGCCCCTAGGAAAGCAGCATTAGTTGTTATGCGATGCTATGCTATGCTATGCCATGTTATGATGCGCTATGTTATGAAATGTTATGATATACTATGATATGCTGCGCAATACTATGTCATGGTGTGCTATGATATGCTATGATGTGTTACGACATGATATGCTATGGTATGCCATGATATGCTATGTATTGATGCGCTGTGTTATGCTAAGCTATGACATGCAATGCTATGCTATGCTATGCGAAGCTGCGCGATGCTATGATATGCTTGGTTATGCTATACTATGATATGCGATGCTATGCTATGCTGTACTATGCTATGGTATGCTACGCTGCGCTATGTTATGCTATGCTATGATATGACCGGCTATGTCAGGCTATGTTATACTATGCTGATGCAGCGCTGCGCTATGTTAAGCTAAGCTAAGCTAGCCCTCTAGGCAGAGCCAAGGTAGGAATTTACACCCATGCTGTGCTATGCTGTGCTGTGCTGTGCTGTGCTGCGCTGCGCTATGCTATGCTATGCTATGCTGCGCTATGCTATGCTGGGCTATGCTATGATATGTTATGCTGCGCTATGTTATGCTACGCTATGCTATGCTGTGCTGTGCTCTGCTATGCTAAAGCTCAGCGAAGTTAAGATGAAGGTACGCTAAGCTAAGATACATCTGAGCTAAGATGAAGCTAAGCTAAGCTAAGATGAAGTAAGCTAAGCTAAGATGAGATAAGCAACGCTAAGCTAAGGGGCCGTCACTGGGGGAACCGCGGGGCGGATACTGGGGGAACCGCCCGGGGCGAGGACCGCTGCCCGGCCCCTTTAAGCCAACACAGTAAGAACCCTTCTAGGCAGAACCTAGGTAGGGATCAGAAGAAATTCAAAAAACGTCAAAAGTAGTCGAAAAATCCTCTCCAGACTATGTATAACTGCATTCCTGGGTACATCCGGATTGTGCTCCCGAGGAGGAGGAGGAGGAGGAGGAGGAGGAGGAGGAGGAGGAGGAGGGGGAGGAGGAAGAGGAGGAGAAGGAGGAGGGGGAGGGGGAAGAGGAATGAGGCTCGAGAACATTTCTTGGCAGTATGTGCAGGGTCCTGCTGGTGCGGTTATCTGTACATTGAAGCGTCTGCGGTGGGGTATCGTCTCCTGGGACTCCTGGGTCACTGACGACGGCATCCCGATCAATCCCCGCAACTTCGGTAAAAGAACCTTCAGGTCCCTGATCAACTCCAGCACCCAGAGGTCCCTGGTACAAGGCCTAGGTGGGCCGTTCGGGAAGATCGATGGTCTAACCGCAGGCCCCTGCCTCACGCCGCTCATTGTGTATTTGAGGGAGCTGCGCACGCTGGGGAAATGCTCTTCAGCAGGCAGACTGGCAACGGCTGTGGCAGGAGGTTTCCCGACACAGCAGACGCCCTTCACTGATCGCAGAGTTGTGACGCAGGACTGCCAGTGGTGCCTGCAAGGTCCTGGCACCAGGAAGCATCGCTTGTACCTGTGCGATGCACACAGCCTGTACAGACGAGATCTTGATCTAGACAATATTATCCCGGCTGGCTGTGAAGGAGGGGATGATGACCTCGCTACTACAAGATGCCTCATCTCAAGCCCCGAATGGGAATGGCCGAAGCCCTACCTCACAGCCGAGCCTAAATGGAGTGTGTACCCCAGATATGGCGTCCTCGACTCGGGTTTCGTCTGCTTAGATGGCTCGGCCGTCGACCCAGAGTTGCTCAGTTTCACGAGGGCAGGATACGGAGTGGTCGCAGTCGACTTGGGAGGCAACATCGAAGGCGCACTCTACGGCCCCTTGCCTCACCCGCTGCAGATGGCGGGCTGCGGAGAGGTTTTCGCGCTGCTCGTGGCCCTGCGCTTTCTGGGGCCGACTGTCACCACCATCGCCACTGATTGCAAAATGGTTCTCGATATCTGGTCCAAGGGCCCGCTCCAGGATCTGTCAGACGTTTGTTTCAGTGAGCTTTGGGTTGACATGATCAGGATAGTCACTGATACTGGGTTGGGAAATTTATCCATGGTGAAGGTGAAGTCACATTTAAGTAGGGCTGCAGCCCTATCCAGAGGCATACCGTGCTGGGCCTGGGCTGGCAACCGCGAGGCAGATCGTCTCGCGCGACTCGGTGCCGAAGCCCAGACGGCTCTTCCATATGTCAGGCAGCGTTACGAGGTTGTCTCGGCCAGGGTCCTCCAGACAGCTCGTTGCGTTTCGAGTATGTTGGACAGTTTGGCTTGCCATGGGTTTCCCGATGTGACCAAGGTTAAACGTGCTGTTCGACCCAAACCAGCGGTTTTGCAACTCGTTCCAGAACCCCGAGGCCATGTACTGATGCGTGTAGGCAAATCGTATGCATGCTCTCGGTGTGGGGACAGGGGCAAATCTAGGGTGTCGATATGCATAATCCCCTGCCGTGGCCTCCCCCGCCCCGCCGCACCTCCCACCCCTCCCATAGAGAGTGGGTTGGGGGAGGTCGGGTGGCGTACTGTTCGAAGTGCGGGGCCTTCGGATCTGAGCGTTCCAGATTTCTTCGGGAGGAGTGCCACGGAGGGCCCAGGAATCGGGACGCCGCCAATTCTTTGAGGCTCTTGAAGTCGGGCGTGGACCCGTCGAACGGAGCCCACTTTGGCAGGAGCTTTCCTGTCTCCCACCTCCTGGCTGTGCCGCCGCCGCTGTCATATCCATCGCAGCCGCCGTGAGCACTGCAGGAGACAATTCGTTTCTCTCTCTCTCTCTATCTCTTCTTTCTCTCTCTCTCTCTCTCTCTCTCTCTCTTCTTTCTATTTAACGGGCCTGTTGCTGCATTCCTCTCTGTATAGGCGGTAACTTGTCATCATCGCAGAAGGTCGCAGAAGGAGGGGGAGGAGATGGAAGAGGAGGAGGAGAAGAAGGAGGAGGACGAGGAGGAGGAGAAGGAGGAGGAGGAGGAGGGAGGAGGAGGAGGAGGAGGACGAGGAGGAGGAGGAGGAGGAGGAGGAGGAGGAGGAGGAGGAGGAGGAGAGAAGGAGGAGAAGGAGGAAGAGGAGGAGGAGGAGGAGGAGGAGGAGGAGCAGGGGAGGGGGAGAAGGAGGATGTGGAGGAGAGGGAGGAGGAGGACGAGGAGGAGGAGGAGGAGGGGGAGGAGTGGGAGGGGAGGGGGAGAGATGGAGGAGAAGGAGGAGGAGGAGGAGGAAGAGGAGGAGGACGAGGAGGAGGAGGAGGAGGAGGGGGAGGAGGGAGGGGAGGGGGAGATGGAGGAGAAGGAGGGAGGAGGAGGAGGAGGAGGAAGAGGAGGAGGAGGAGGAGGAGGAGGAGGAGGAGGAAGAGGAGGAGGAGAGGAGGAGGAGGAGGAGGAGGAGGAGGAGGAGGAGGTGGGCGGAGGAGGGAGGAGGAGGAGGGAGGAGGAGGAGGAGGAGGAGGAGGAGGAGGAGGAGGAGGAGGAGGAGGAGGAGAGGGCGGAGGAGGAGGAGGAGGAGGAGGAGGAGGAGGGGGAGGAGGAGGAGGAGGAGGAGGAGGAGGAGGAGGAGGAGGAGGAGGAGGAGGAGGAGGAGGAGGAGGAGGAGGAGGGAGGGTCGGACGCCCCATCAGATCTGGGGTAGTTGCAGTCTGGGACAGCTCTGGCCTGGGCCCCTTGGGCGCGAATCTGTAGTTACACATCTGGCCGCCCCCAGCCCCGATGATTCCGGGGCTCTGGGAGCAGGGCCGCTCTCGCTGGCGCGTGGCCGAGGAAGGGTTACTCTTGCCAGCGCTCGGGTCGGGCGCAAGGGGGGGATAGCAAAGGGGGGGGGGTGATAATCAGCTCACGTAGCTGATTTTCCCGGCGCCTCCCGGCGCCGGAGGCGGCTACGTATCGAGGAACGGGCCCCTCGGTGAAGCCGAAACCAGCTGCATGCAGCAAATTTCGTACCCCCCCCCTTTCCGAATCCCTCCCTTTCGCCCGGCCCGAAGCGCGTGGCCGACGCATCGCGATCCTCCACCCGGAAGGGAGGCGCCCTCGGAGCCGCGGCGCCGCGCTGCCAGAAGAGCCTCTCGCGAGCGCCCGAGGTGGGTGCGGCACAGCTGGGCACAGCGCCCATAGGGACAAACGTTGGCGCAAACCGGCAGCGGGCGCTGGTTGGTAGGGGGCCACATGCGAACCCTACCACTACCCCCCACGATTTCTGAGGGGGAGGGTGGGGCTCACTTCGTTCGGGAGCTCCCGAGCGAAGTGAGCCCCACCCTCCCCCTCAGAAATCGTGGGGGGTAGGGGTAGGGTTCGCATGTGGCCCCCTAGTTGGGCTGGCGGCCTTCTGCCTCAGAGGGACACCGCCCGCGGCGATGCCGACAGCGGACCCTGTCCAGAACGAGCAGGGACTCAGAGGCCTCCTAGATGGGTTCGGAGTAGATGGGGTCGGAGGATCGCGCCGCATCGGCGATATACTGGCAAGGCATCAGCGATGCACTGGCGAACTGGCGATACGTCGGCGACGTCGGCGGTACATCGGCGACGTCCGCGTGAAGAAAATCGGGCTTAGCATCGAGCCGCATCGGCGATGCATCGGCGATGCAGCGGCGGTGCGTCAGCGATGCGTTGAGATCCTTCGACCCCATTTGTTCCGACCCCATCTGGGAGGCCCAAAGAACTGCTGTCGGTCTTTCCCAGACATGCGACGTCCTGATTGTTTCGACCAGGGGTCCGTGGAAGTCCCGACCCTCTCCCCGGGACCGCTTCTTAATCCGGAGACGTTCCTTGACGGCCCTCGCGAGGTCCGGCGAGGACCCCGCGAGGCCGACAATAGGGCCAAACACCTCCTGGCCCAATTGTTTGCTTCACGACGCGATCATGTCTGCGTTGTGCCCGTCCTTCCCTAGGGGAACAAAAAGTGGCATAAACATAAAAACTCGGAGGTCCGCGCGGATTTCTCGGATCGGCGGGGCCCCCCGGCGGCGCCTCCGGCGCCGCCCCTGGCGCGCTCCGCGCGCCAGGGAGGGGAATCCAGCGCCGATCCGAGAAATCCGCGCGGACCTCCGAGTTGTTATGTTTATGTCACTGTTGGTTCCCCTACTTCCGCACCCACTGCGAGATCGCCCCCCGAAGCGCCTGCCCCCGGAGAGGCCCCGCCGCAGCGCGGCCTTTGAGCAGAGACCGACCGTCCCGGCATTCCTATAGTCCTACCACGACATGTTCTCAGAACCCAAAAATGCTCGAAGAACCAAAACCGTGCTCTCAGACAACAGACCCGCTGCGCCAAACCAAGGCAGCCCCCACCAAGAACGTTCCAAGAGCACCTCGTGGGAACCACAAAAAGTTCTTCGAACCTTGTTTGGTGGGACTATCAGCGAGCCGGGACGCTTCGCCACTGTAAAACAAGTCTAGGATCGGGATAAATCGCTCCAGAGCGTTCCGGAGCGCTCTCAGAGCGTTCCGGAACGCTCTGGAGCGGCCGCGGCGCCCAGCACATCCTCCAAACCCGCCGATTCTCAGAGATTTCGAATTATCCCGATCCGATTTTGTCCCGATCTTCGCGTCGTTTTACTATAAGCGAGCCGGGACGCTTCGCCACTGCTCGAGGCCTCCCCCGCGCCCGCGAGCGGCTCCACGAGCCGCGCGTCGAGGCGGCGCGCCGAGGCCTCGCGCGCCGGCAGGGCCAGCCGGCCCGCCTGGGCGCCGCGCGGCTGCGGCGGCCACGCGCAGGGAGCGGCCCTCAGAGGCCGAGGAGCGCGCCGGACAAGGTTGGAAGGGGCCCCAGGACACACAAGTAAATACACACAAATAAAAAGACCTCCTCCTCCTCCTGCTCCTCCTCCTTCTCTTCCTCCTCCTCCTCCTCCTCCTCATCCTCCTCACCCTCCGCTTCCTCCTTTCGATCAGGGTCGGCGGCACCGGCCGTCAGGCCTCTCCAATAAATACACACAAATAAAAAGATTCCCCATATTTTCCCATATGTTCGGGGGTTCTGTCTTCCCCCCCACTCCTCATAATTTTCCCCTATTTTCCGGGAGGTCGACGATTCATTGTGTCTGTGTGTTTTTTCCCTCCTGAAAGTTTTCTTGATCGATAGAGGAAAGAGAACTATGCACAGACACCGATTCCGGCCAGGCCCATCCTGAGCCCAGGATCGGTGCCTACGCTCTCCTACCTACGGTCCAGAAAGGCACATGCACCGATCCTGGGTCAGGGGTGGGCCTTGCCAGGATCGGTGCATGTGCATAGTTCTCTTCGCCCGGATTGAGGGGCAGCGATAGGGTCGGGGGCGCGCAAGCATTAGGTCGGGCATGTCCTCCTACAGGGGGTTGTTAGACGAAAAACAAAAAATACTCCAAAACTACTCCAAAATGGTCAAAGGTGGCCCCAAAAAGTCGTCCCCAGACTATGCTTCGACTATTTTTGAATATTTCCCCTGTAGAGGGACAGACCCGACTTAACGCAAGCATGGATCAGCGATCCATGGATTTGGCGCGCGGTCGCCAAGTCCATGGATCGGGGGAGGTGCCCTCCACGAAATGCGGCCGGTGCCGCCTCGCTCGGTCGCGGAGATCCGCGATGTCCCAGGGAAACGGGACCCGTCGCTCATCCACGCCCCCTTGATCCATGCTTGCCATTGCCTGATAAGGGGGGGACCGGCATATAGGGGGGCACGCATCGATCTGCAGCCCGCGATGCATATCGCCGATAGGTCCGCGCTGGGCCCCCGATCGCGACTCCGCACCTTCCTGGGCAGGCTGGGGCCATCGGGCCCCTATCGGCGAGGCGAGGTCGGTGCATCCCCCCCTATGCCTATCCCCCCGATCGTTGCCCTTGATAGGTGCCCCCCCTCACGGCCCCCGAGGGCCAGTCAGGGGGTCGACCCCGCCCGCGCCCACGTGCCTCTGTGGTTTGCCATGGGGCACCACTGAGGTTTGATATATGTGCTTCCTGGTTGTCACGACTTTCATTCTGTGCTATCCACCGCGCCTCGCGTTGGGACGACGGTCCCAAACATTGGAGCTGGCGGTTCTTGGCCGTTTTCGGCCTCTACTGGGCCCTGGCCAGGCCTCGGGAGCGTCAAAAAACGACTCAGGACGAAAAATAAGCCCTGGGAAAGTGGTCCAGATCTTTGGGCCCACGCATTAAAAAAGTTAGAGCAGCCGGATGTCTGGTGCGCGGCTGTATTTCACGGGCGAGGAGCAATACTTTTTCGCCGTCGGGGGCGCCTGTCCTAGGGCTGCTGGAAGGTTTATACCCCTGCGGTGGCACCGTCAAGGTATAAGCTTTCCAGCCGCCCTGTGACAGGCGCCCCCGGTGACGGAAAAGTTTATGACATACCGTTCTTCGCCGCAAGGGGGCGAGGGGGAGGACGGCAAACCAAAAGCGCGCAGGCTGCTGCTCTCGCACCGCACTCGGCGATCGGGGAGCCCCAAAGAGCCCGCACCAGAAGCCACTCCAGCAAAAGGGTACTCTTGCGCGTAGCCGAGGCTTGTAGTACCCGACGAGCTTGGCACCGACCCTCTCAAGAAGAAGAAAGACGCCATGGGCAGAAACTTCCAGACCTCCGCGCGGACTTCCCCAGGTCGGCGCTGGACCGCCTCTCTGGCGCGCTCCGCGCGCCAGGGGCGGCGACGGAGGTGCCGCAAGATGGAGGGGCCCAGCGCCGATCGGAGAAATCCGAGCGGAGCTCCAGAAGTTCATGATTATGACATGTTCTCTTCCTCGACTCTTGGCCCAAGCCCCGACTTCCTCGGCTGCACGCGAGGGGCGACCCCGGGCAAGAGCGACCTCGGGTGCGCGGCGTTCGGGGGCCACCGTGGGGCCGAGTCCAGGCGCGCAAGCCAGTACCGGCGGGGCACTTGAGGGATCCCTCTGGGCCCGCACCAACCCTGAGAGCCGACGTCTCGAAAAAGCCGCAACCCCGCGAGAAATCACGGCCAAAGCTCCGGACCCCATCTTTCCGCGACATCTTTCGAGCTGCACCGCTCTGTGAGGATCCCGGGGCCCGAAGCCTGGCAGAAAACGCCCAGCTCGAAACAATTGCAACGGCAGGATCTCCGGGAAAAGTCACTCCCCAGACAGGCGACGTCCTGAATTTGTCAATCTGGGGTCCCTATAGAAGTCCCGACCCGTTCCCCGGGACCCGTTTTCCATCGTGGATCGGTTTGGACCGCCCCGAGGCCCGGCGAGGGCCCCCCCCGAGGCCGAACATGGCCAAACAAAAACCCCGTCCTGACCTTTTCACGACGCGAAGGGAGAGGTCGCTCTGGCGACGGGTCACTCTCAGGTGCAGCCGCGCTTCCTCGCCCAGCTGCGGCCGCGCTCCCTCGCGCCGCAGCGCGCGCAGCTGCGCGTGCGCCGCGGCGCGGCTCTCCCAGAAGCCCCCGTCGGACGCGACGACGCGATGCCAGCCAGCGCAACGCGCGCCCGCGAGCCCCTTCCACAGGGAAGCGATCGTCGTCGTCGGCGTCGGCGTCGTCGGCGTCGTCGTCGGCGTCGTCGTCGTCGTCCTCGTCGGGCTCGGCGTCGGCGTCGGCGTCGGCGTCGTCAGCGGCGGCGGCGTCGGCGTCCTCGGCGTCGTCGTCGGCGTCGTCGTCGTCGGCGTCGTCGTCGGCGTCCTCGGCCTCGGCGTCGGCGTCGGCGTCGGCGTCGGCGACGTCGACGTCGGCGTCGTCGCCGTCGTCGTCGGCGGTGTCGTCGCCGTCGTCGGCGTCGGCGTCGGCGACAGCGTCGGCGTCGTCGCCGTCGGCATCGTGATCGTCGTGATCGTCAATGTGGTCGTCGTCCTCGTCGTCGTCGTCCTCGTCGGCGTCGGCGACGGTGTCGTCGGCGACGGCGGCGGCCACGTCGTCGGCGTCGGCGTCGACGTTGGCGTCGTCGGCGTCGTCGAGGTCGGCGGCGTCGGCGTCGTCGGCGGTCGGCGTCCTCGACGTCGGCGTCGGCGTCCTCAACGTCGGCGTCGGCGTCGGCGTCGTCGTCGTCGGCGTCGTCGTGATCGTCTCGGTCGGCGTCAGTGGCGTTGTCGTCGGCGTCGTCGTCGTCGGCGTCGTCGGCGTGCTCGGCGTCGGCGTCGGGCGTCGTCGACGTTGGCGTCGTCGTCATCGTCGTTGGCGTCGTCGTCGTCGGCGTCGGCGTCGGCGTCGCCGTTGGCGTCGCCGTTGGCGTCGTGATCGTCGTCGGCGTCGTCGTCGTCGTCGTCCTCGTCGGCGTCGGCGTCGGCGTCGTCGTCCTAGGCGGCGGCGGCGACGTCGTCGGTGTCGGCGTCGGCGTCGGGGTCGGCGTCGTCGTCGTCGTCGAGGTCGGCGGCGCCCTCGGCGTCGGCGTCGGCGCGGTCGTCGGCGTCGTCGTCGGCGTCCTCGACGTCGGCATCGGCGTCGTCATCGGCGTCCTCGGCGTCGGCGTCGGCGTCGGCGTCTTATCGGCATCGACGTCGACGTCGTCGTGATCGTCGTGGTCGGCGTCAGCGGCGTCGTCGTCGGCGTCGTCGTCGTCGGCGTCGTCGTCGTCGGCGTCATCGGCGTCGGCGTCGGCGTCGCCGTCGCCGTCGTCGACGTCGGCGTCTTCGTCATCGTCGTTGGCGTCGTCGTCGTCGGTGTCCTCGGCGTCCGACTTCAGCGTCGGCGTCGGCGTCGCGTCGCGTCGCCGTCGGCGTCGTCGTCGTCGTGATCGTCGTCGTCGGCGTCGTCGTCGCCGTCGTCGAGGTCGGTGGAGTCCACGGCGACGGCGGTCGGCGTCGCCGTCGGCGTCGTCGTCGTCGTGATCGTCGTCGTCGGCGTCGTCGTCGCCGTCGTCGAGGTCGGTGGAGTCCACGGCGACGGCGGTCGGCGTCGGCGTCGGCGTCGGCGCGGTCGGAGTCGTCGGCGTCTGCGTCGTCGTCGGCGTCAGCGTCGGCGGCGACGTCGTCGTTATTGTCGGCGTCGGCGTCGGCGATCGTCATTGTCGTCGACGTCGGCGTCGTCGGCGGCGTCGGCGTCGGCGTCGGCGTCGGGCGTCGTCGGCGTCGTCGGCGTCGTCGGCGTCGGCGTCGTCGTCGGCGTCGGCGTCGGCGTCGGCGTCGTCGGCGTCCTCGGCGTCGGCGTCGGCGTCAGCGTCGGCGTCGGCGTCGGCGTCGTCCTCGTGGGCGTCCCCGGCGTCGGCGTCGTCGTCGTTGTCAGCGTCCTCGGCGTCGGCGTCGGCGTCGGCGTCGGCGTCGGCGTCGGCGTGGGACTCGTCGTCGTCGGTGTCGTCGTCGTCCTCGTCGTCGTTTGCGTCGGCGTCGGTGTCGGCGTCGGCGGCGGCGGCGACGTCGTCGTCGGCGTCGTCGTCGGTGTCGGCGTCGGCCACGGCGTCGTCGTCGGCGTCGGCGTCATCGTCATCGTCGTCGTCGTCTTGCCTCTGACCCCCCCCCGGGGGGACTGGCTCAGGGGGGGAAGCATCAAGCTGGGATCGGCGATCCATCGCCGATGGATCGGCGATGGGCCCACGACGGCGAGCACGCGCGCTCCTGGGGCGGCCCGGGCTATCGGGCCCCTGTCGGCGATTGGGGTAGGGCGCCGGGCTCTCCGAGAGGGCCGGAGGAGATGGACCTCCGAGGGGGCCGCCGCGGCAGAGGATGTGAGGAGGAGGGGAGGAGGACGAGGACGGGGAGGGGGAGAGTAGGGGAGGACGGGGAGGGGGAGGAGGAGGACGAGGACGAGGACGAGGACGGGGAGGGGGAGGAGGACGAGGACGAGGACGAGGACGAGGATCGGGAGGGGGAGAGTGGGGGAACGACAAATGGCAGAAACATCGGAGGTCCGTGCGGACTTCTCGGACATCGGCGCTGGACCCCCCTCCTGGGCGCGCGGAGCGAAAGCGAGCGGCGGCGCCGGAGGCGCCGCCGCTCGGGGGGCCCAACGCCGATGCGGGAAATCCGCGCGGGCCGCCGAGCTTTTATGCTTCTGTCATTGCTCGCTCCCCTAGCAGTGGGCGCTTGTGGGTCGATGCGTCGTCCGCCCCCGAGGCTCATCCCCCCCTGGCGTTGCCCCCGACCTTCAGGTGGCCCCCGAGCACCGTGCGGGTGCCGGTGCCGATGGCCTCATCCCCGCGGCCCATGAGCTCGAGCGCGGAGCGGAACACCTCTGGGGAAACGCAGATGCACCATAAGAAATATCGCGGCGAACCCGGCGGTGACGACGAGGGCCTCCCAGGAGGCCGAACAAGGGGAAAATGAGGGAAGAACCTCCGCTTTCTCCTCCTCCTCCTCCTCCTCCACCTCCTTGGGGAAGCACCCATGTACCGACACCGCTACTCCACGGCCCTCTACTGGGCCTCGGGTGCGTTCTGACCAGAATCTCGAGGCGAATCCAGCGGTGGCGACGAGGGCCTCCCAGGAGCTGCGGAAAATGTATGGATACAATCACAACGTGTATTGAGGTCGGGTGGCAAGGACGCAAGACCCTTGAGGCCGAAGTCGGGATTGGTTGGGCAGCGGGCGATCAGCGAAAACGGCAAAGGACGTGCCGCAGAGGCAAGGACACAGGGGATGAAGGCGCGCGTCCTTACTAGGCGCTTTGACTGCAGCTGGAGAAACCCAAAAATACAGATACCGCTACTCCCCAGACCTCTCCCGGGGCGCGTTCTGACCAGAATCTCGAGGCGAATCCAAAGGTGGCGACGAGGGCCTCCCAGGAGGACCGCAAAAGGGGAAAACGAAGCAAGGGTAACGGTGTTGTCTCCGCAAACACACCACTGGTGCCCGACCAAATGCACTAGGCAAGCTTGGTATCTGACGGCCAACCTGCAATAGGCGAGCCAACGCGCGAGACCTTCGCCAGCGCAGATAAACTAAAACGGTATGGGTGTTGTTCCTCTTCCGATATAGCCTTTTCCCTCTCCTCCTCTGCACCTCCATCTTCGTGCGCGTGCGGCCGCTCGGGATGGCCGCCACCGCGGCGGCGACCGCACCCCCCCCGTCCATCGTCGCATCGCCGCTCCTGCGGACGCCCGAAGTGGCTGCGGAAAGCATGGGCGGCATGCCCAGCAACACATGTTACGGCATTGGATGAGGAAACCTTCGGCAAGGAATCCAGGGTCGAGAAGCCAGTGGAAAGCCAATCGTGGATTGGCCATGGATACCACAGCCGACCTCATCTGATAAGGAACCCTCCGGGGACTGAAGCCTCCTGGGCACGTTCCTTAACCAATGCCCCTCCCCCATCACAAACCGACAGCGGCCGATGTTGGGCAGGCGGACTCGTGCCTCGAATGGACACTGGCCGCGGCGACACCGACAGCGAGCTCTGTGCAAAATGAGCAGGAACCGCTCGATGGCTCGAAGGAGGATGAGGAGGAGGCGGAGGAGGAAGAGGGCGAGGAGGAGGAGGAGGAGGGCGAGGAGAAGGGAGAGGAGGAGGAGGATCTTCTCGAGTCGGCCTTTGTACCCATCATTTCCGTACCCATTGCGATCGTCCCGAGCAGGAACGGCGGTCCTCCTCCTCCTCCTCCTCCTCCTCCTCCTCCTGCTGCTGCTCCTCCTCACTCCCCCTTCTCACTCCTCCTCCTCCTCCGCCTCTTCCTCCGCTTCCGCCTCCCTCACTCCTCCTCCTCCTCCTCCTCCTCCTCCTCCTCCTCCTCCTCCTAACTCCTCCTAACTCTCACTCCTCACTCCTGACTCCTCCTCCCTCCTCCTCCTCCTCCTCTTCCTCCTCCTCCTCCTCCTCATCACATCATAATCCTGCTCTTCTCCTCACTCCTCATTCCTCCTCCTCCTCCTCCTTCTCCTCCTTCACCTCTCCTCCTCCTCCTCCTCCTCCTCCTCCTCGTCACTCCTCACTCCTCACTCCTCACTCTCACTCCTCACGTCTCACTCTCACTCCTCATCACTCCTCACTCCTCACTCCTCACTCCTCCTCCTCCTCCTCCTCCTCCTCCTCCTCCTCCTCCTCCGCCTCCTCCTCCTCCTCCTCCTCCTCCTCACTGTTCCTCATCCTCCTCACTCCTCCTTCTCCTCACTCCTCACTCCTCCTGGTCTTTGTACCCATGCCTTCCGCACCCACTTCGATCGTCCCGAGAGGCTCCTGCTCGCGCGGCCCGCCAGCGCGGGGCCCGCCGCCCGGCGGCGGCTCTTGGCAGCGTGCACGGGCGGCGCCGCGGCCGGCCTCTTCATGTGGCTCGCGGGGGGGGCGGGCCCGGCGACCGCTGGCGGCGCGGCGTCACGGGCCGACCCGGGGGAGGGGTGCAGCTGCCGAGCGGGGGGGAAGGCGGAGAAAGGAGGGAAGGAGGAGAGAGGGAGAGGAGAAGGGGAGAAGGGAAGCAAGGAGGGAGGGGGAGGAGGGGGGGAAGGGAAAGGGAGGGGAGGGCAAGGGGGGAAGAAGGGAGGAGGGAAGGAGGGAAGGGAGGAATGGACGGAGGTGGAAGGCGGGAAGGGACGATGGGCATGCAGGGAGGAGGGGAAGATGCGCTACGGTCAGGGACCTTTGCGTAGCGTCGCGGCGGCGGCCCCGGCGACACGCTGTGCCCTACGAGCGGATGGCGTGTCGCTCCGCTCCGCGGGGCGGGAGGCTTGAGAAGGTCAAGACGTGGACACGGAGGGACTGGGGAATGGATAGCGTGTCGTACCGAAGCGTGGTGGGCCAGGAACAGCGGAGCGACACGAGGGGGCCTGGGACGGGAGGGTGTGCTGCAGCATCGCCGACGCATCTCTGGTTTCTTCTGGTCCTCCTCTCCTCCTCCTCCTCCTCCTCCTCCTCCTCCTCCTCCTCCTCCTCCTCCTCCTCCTCCTCCTCCGCCTGTGCAGGCGGCCAGGGGGTCTTCGCTGGATGGGCGCCGAGAACATGGGTCGGGACGGGGGGTGAAGACAAGTCCGATAAGCATCTGAGCAACGTTCAAAAACGGGTCTTACGCGAGGTGGCGTGGCGAACTTGCGCCGCAGCTTACGCGGGCCGCGGGCAGGGCACGCCGCATTGAAAACGAGGGCGCTTACGCGCGACCTTACGCGGGGAGCGCACGCCCCAACGTCGGCGCACTTGGCCCCATTTTTTCTCGTCGCCCAGCTGCGGGCGTTGGCAGAACTGGGTTTAGTGGGACCTGGTTCAGTGATGTGTACTGGGGGACGCCCCCCCCCCCCCCGCCTGTTCCACTACCCGGAATTGCCGTCACCCGAAGAAAAACACCAGCTACGGCAGACCTGGTTTAGGGATTCTGGCCAGTTTAGGGGCTCCAGGGCCCTACTACTAACCGGGTCCCCTCACCTGGGGTCCTGGCTATACCCGACGTATGCCCCTGGACACCTCCTCCCGGGGTCCATCTGGTGCAGTGCTTCCCCCCCGGGTCCGCCTTCGGCGGCCCTGCAGGGGTGGCCTGCAACAACGGCCCCCTCGAGACGGACAAGGGGCAGAGCCCCCCCTCGAACCCAAAAAACATTAAACCTCGCTCCCCCTCCTGCAGGACCCACAGCCGGCTCCAGCTCCTCCACCTCGACGCCCAGAGCTCTGGATGCACGGCGGCGGGTGGGGGGCGCGGCTCCTCCTGTCCTCCCTCTCTTCCTCCTCTACCTCCTGTTCACTCCTCCCTTGCGCGTCTCGCCCTTCTTCTCCTCTTCCACCTCATACTCCCTCATCTCGACTCCCATTTCTCCTCATCCTCCTCCTGCTGCCCTCCTCCTCATCGTCATCATCACCACCATCACCATCACCACATTCATAAAATGGCATCCTCCTAATCATCATCATTAGCATCATCATTAGCATCATCATCATCATCATCATCATCATCATCATCAGCATCATCATCATCATAATCAACATCAGCAACATCATCAGCATCATCATCATCAGGATCAGCATCGTCATCTTCATCATCGTCATCCTCACTGTCATCATCATGACCATCATCATCATCATCATCATCATCATCATCATCATCATCATCATAATCAGCATCGTCATCAGTCAGCATCATCATCAGCATCATCAGTATCATCAGCAGCGACAAAAACGCAATCATCATCATTACCATCAGCTCCATCATCATCATCACCATCAGCAGCAACATCATCATTATCATTACCACCATCATCATGACCTCCACCATCATCATCACCACCACCACCATCACCACCACCACAATAAAAGCATCATCATCATCATCATCAGCATCAGCATCCTCATCCTCATCCTCATCATTACCATCATCCTCATCATCACCATCATTAGCAGCATCATCATCATCATAATCATAATAATAATAATAATAATAATCATCATCATCATCATCACCATCATCATCATCATCATCATCATCATCATCACCACCAGCATCATCATCATCATTATCATCATCATCATCATCATCATCATCATCATCATCTTCATCGCCAGTATCATCAGCAGCAGCAGTGTACCACTAGCATGATCAGCATTATCAACATAAATGTCAGCATCATCATCATCAGAGGCATCGTTATCATCATCTTCTCTTCATCAGCATCAAAAACATCCGTTTCCTCATCCTCATCATTATCATCATCCTCATCCTCATCATTATCATCATCATCCTCATCATCATCAGCATCTTCATCTTCATCGCCATTCTCATCAGCACCAGCAGCGTACCACTAACATTGTCAGCATCATCAGCAGAATAATCAGCATCATCATCAGCAGCATCATTACCATCCATCAGCATCATTAGCAGCATCATGAACACCACCATCATCATCCTCATCACCACCAGCATCACCACCAACACAATAATGATAACCATCCTCATCACCATCACCAGCATCAACAGCAGCATAAGCATCATCGTCATCATCGCCATCAGCAGCAACATAAGCACCGACATCAGCATCAGCATCAGCATCATCCCCATCAGAATCCTCACCCTCATCCACATATCATCATCATGCCCAAACTCATCCTCAGCCTCAGCCTCCGCATCATCATCATCAGCATCATCAGCATCATCATCAACATCGTCATCATCAGCATCATCAGCATAATCATCCCTACACCTGCTACTCGTCCTCGTCCTCGTCCTCTGCCTACTCCTCCTTCCTTACCTTCAACCTCCTCGTCCCTCCTGATGCCTCCTTCCCTTATCCCTCTCCTTCTTCTGCGGTTCCTCCTCTCTCGCCTCCATCGTCCGTCCCCCCTGCCCTCTCACCCCCTCATCCCCGCTCCTCCCCGATCCTCGATCCTCGATCCTCGACCCTCGACGGCGACGACGCCGACGATGACGACGACCTGGCGCCCTTCCGAACAGGCGCCGCGGCGGTGTCGCTTTTCCTGGCTAGAGTGGGTCAGGGCACGTGCTGCCACTCCCCGGGGCGGGCTGGCCCGCCCTCTGTGTGTGTGAGGCGCGGCAGAGAGCTCCACTCAAAGCGCCCTCGCTAGTCCGACAATGCGAGACTTATGCTTCCCCCCCTCCTTCTCCTCCCCCCCTCCTCCTCCACCTTTTCCTCCTCCCCCTTCTCGTCCTCCGCCTTCTCCTCCTCCTCCTCCTCCTCCTCCTCCTCCTCTTCCTCTTTCTCCTGCTCCCCCCGATCCCCTCCGCGCCGCGGAAAACGACTCGCGACCGAACGTGTCATGGCGGATTTTGGCGTCGAGATGGCCTTACCACGCCCCGGGATCGTAACAATTGCACCCTTGGCGGCAGAATTCCCGAATCAGCGCTTTGTGGTCTGTTAGCCAGCGTGGAACCCAAACAGTGTGACTTTAGCGATGTATGGCGTACAATTTATGTGGAGCAGTCTACGGTGTGCAATCTACGTATGTGGTGCAAGCTATGTCATGACAAATATGTTATGCATTGTATGTTGCACTCGGTATGCGCATGTGTACATATATAAATGTTTATATATATATATATATATGTATGTGTATATATATATACACAAGGCTGCATTGGCGCTTCGCGCCACGAACCTTGTTCCTTGAAGCTTTGGGGCGGTTGGGTGGTCGCGCCTTCCTCTTTTCCCTTTGAGGCGTGCTCGCTCGCTCGTATCACGGAGAAGCGAAAGAGAAGGAAAATGGGGCAGTGACCTTGGGACGGGCAAAAAATGTGAGTCGGAGACCACGGGCGCACGGAATGGCGTGAATGGAAAGTGCTGGAGTCTTGGGTGTGGGCAAACTGCGGCGTTTCGTTTTGAAATACCATCTGAGCGGGCGAGAACTCAGGGATCTACATCGGGGCCTGTCGAAGCGGTGTGAGGGCCTTGTGGCCCATCTCGGAATCACCTCGGACTGTCCTCGGGGCGTCTTGGGACTGCCGCTCGCCCGTTTGCACGCTTGGGTAGCGTTGACAAGGCGCCCTGAAGAGCTGGAATTCCTGGGCGGCCCTGTTGAGGAGTGTCCAGACGGTGTCCCTGGGCTGTCATGGAGCCGCCGATGGGCAGTTTGGGAGTCGTGTAGGGCCCTAATGGCGCCTTCCGAAATAGTGAGAATGCTGATTTGGCTCGTGTTGGGGCCACCCCTGGCCGTCAGAGCGATGCCCATGGGCAGGGTGGGGGTCGTTCCGGGCCCTCGTGGGGAGCCTTTGGGGATTCAGGACGCGCGTTTGGGTTTAATTGGAGCGATGTTCGGAGCATTGACACTGCTTTCGGACGCCTGGCAGGCCGAAGGAACGAATGGCAGTAAATCTTACAACAGCATTGAGGCATACATGTTTTTCTGGTTCGAGCGCGTCTTGGAGGTACCTTTCGGGTCGCCTCAGGGCTTCCGACGAGACCCAAGGCCAACTTGGTGCCATGTTGGACCGTCTTGGGCGTGTCTTGGGCCTTCCGCTGGCCGCCTTGGGGTCAATTTGGGGCGGTCATGGGGCCGCTCGTGGGCAGTTTAGGAGCCGTCTTGGGCCCCCGTAAAGATTCTCTGGAGTCGGGAAAGGTTTTCTGTGCCTCGCCTGCGTTCTCGGACGCATGACAAGCCGAATGAGGACATAGCCGAGAAGCATGCAACAGCCACAGAAAAATCAAGATGTTCATGGGTTCGAGCGCCTCTTGGAGGTGACATTGGAAGCGCCTTCAAGCATCCAGCAAGGGCCTGGACCGCATGATGCCATCTTGGACCATTTACGGCGTCTCTAAGGCCTTGCGTCAGCCGTCATGGGGACTCTTTTGGGCGGTCAGTTTGGGGACCGCTTCGGGCGCTCATGGGGCTCATTTGGGCCGTCTAGGAGCGGTTGTCAGTGCGTGT